ACTCCTCTTCATTCTCTTACCTTTAGAAGAGCTTAATCCCATGGTTTCTCAGAGTTGTTTAGATTTGCATTAGGCTGATGATTAAGGATTTGAGCAGTGTCTTAAGTCTCTTTCAGGAATTTTGGATTCCTCAATTGACTGTTCTCTATTAAGTCCTGTATCCCGCTTTCTAATATCACACCTCCACAGAGAGAACATCACTTCCAGCACAAGTTCTAATAGATCGTAATAATAAAAACTCACAGTAATCTGACAGGGAGGGGAAGGTGAAAATTGAAGGATCACAGATTCAGAGCATCTGGCTACTAGAGTTGTTATCTCTACCTATTCTCAGACAAGCGATGTGTTCCTGTCCTCACACTGCCTACTCAGATTGACTGCTATCTCTTCGATCCCTCAGACTAACTTCTCAAACAAAATCATCTCACAGCATGCTCTACTCGCTCCTCTACCTTATCTTCCTCTCTCTGTTCAGCCATGTCACTCCTATCTCCAAATGCCTGCTGCTGGGAATAAAGACCTGATTCCCATGTCCTGGGACCACCTTAGTGTGAGCTGTTTTTCTTTTAGACAGACATAGTATGTGTCTAACTAGTGCCATAGTGTGTGTGTCTAACTACTGATTTAATGTGTGTGGATAACTAGTGACCTAGTATTGGTAGCTAACTAGTGACTTAGGTGTGTAGTTGACTAAATACATAGAAATACATAGGTGCATGGCTAACTACTATCTCAGTGTGTGTGGCTGACTATTTTCTTGGTGTTTGTGACTAGCTAGTAAATTAGATGTGTGGCTGACTAGTGACTTAGTATGGGTGGGTAAGTAGTGATATATTGTGTGTAACTAACTAGAGACATAGAGACTGTGGCTAACTAGTAACCTAGCTTTGTGGCTAACTAGTGACTTAGGCAATGTGGTTAATTACTGCTTAGGCATGTAGCTAAATAGTAACTTAGGTGTGTGATTAACTACTGTCTTAGTGTGTGGCTAAGTACTGCTTTATTTGTGTGATGGACTTGTGGCTTAGTTTTTGTGGCTAACTAGTGACAAAGGTGTGGGGCTGACTATTGATTAAGGTGTTTGTCTAACTAGTGACTTCATATGTGTGGCTAAATAGTGAGTTAAGTATGTGGCTAACAAGTGGCATGGTGTGTGTGGGTACTAGTGAGCTAGTATGTGTGGCTAACTAGTGGGTTAGTTTGTGGCTAACTAGTGGCTTACACTTACCTACATGTGTAGCTAAATAGTGACTCCACTTAGTAATCTGATTGTTAGGAACTAGCAGCCATTTGACCCCCCCCACCCTGATGATGGGCGGGACCCTCATGGCCATGTCATTGCTACATCAGCTTTACCTGATGGCTCAAGTTTTACCTGGCTGCCAGAGGACTCAGTTACACATGTGCAATCCTCCCCTTTTAAAGCAAGTGCCCCACACCCCCCTCTTTCTCTCCTGCTTTCAGTTGGCCACCAGCTACCCCCTCTTTCTCTCCCTTCTCTCAACAATCTCCACGTGGGCCCTGAGTCTCCCGTTTGTGTTTCTTAGGCATTAGCTGCACAGCAAAAGAACAACATTGGTGCCGAAACCCAGGCAGACTCTACGTGAGGGTCACTGACAGCTGTCTGCTGGTGGTCGGCCAGCCAGAAACACTCAGGATCTTGTTTCAGATACCAGCGTTCCACCACCATCCCCCCCAACCCAGTTCACTGGAAATACCACCCCACACAGGCTTCAATTAGGTAAGGTACCCTTTTACATTTTAACCCAATTCCTTAAGGTCAGGTACATTCCATGGGTGGAAGACATACAGCCCAGTGAGGTATATCGGCTCTGCTCTCAGACTGCTGAGTATTTCCGGCCTCTGTTGGTCCTGGCAACGTTTTCGGGCTAACGAGCTTCGAATAACGCTCTGCCATTCTTGCAAATCGTGTGGCCACACTCTTGGGCTGATGAGTTCCAAGACTGCATAGTCACTTTCACTCCACCCATGGGGAATAAACCAATCAAGGAAATATCCCCCACCACTCCACTGGGTTGCCTGATAGAAAATTTAATACCTTTTCACTTAATGCCACTTGTAAAGTCACCCAGACTTATTTACCTTTGTACTGAAAAGTAGCCTAGATATCCCCTAGAAAATAATTCAAATTGGCCACGTAACGGCTCTCTAGATCCCGATATTTTATAGGATCTTTCAAATTACTGCCAGGGAACAGATAGATGGAAGGCGTTTTTTTTTTTTTTTTTTTTTTTTTTTTTTATCTCTGCTAAACAATCTCTTTTCCTAAACTTGTTTCAGTTCTCTTCCCGGCATGCTCAAATTCTCCTGCCTGCCCCAGCTGCAACCTGTCTCAGCATGGTGGGCTGGGCTGAGGCAGCATCTGCTCAAGACAAAATTATATCTCAAAACTTTACGATTTCTTTCAGCTGTTGGGAATATGTTTATGGCAGCCACCATCTTGACCATGTGGCCTAGCTTTACCCACCATGGTTCTTCTTTCTGCTACATCAGCCATCTAGGCAGAAAGAGTCTAGCCAGCTTCTGCCACCAACAGAACCTGTAAGTCATTTACCGTTTGCCTTTTTTCTCTGACTATGTTATACACAGCTTCACACTCTTGTCCTTCTCAATTTACCCAGTCCTGAATAATATTTCTGTACATTCGATTTCAACTTCGATTTCAATGTAAGCTAACTTCATACAACTTAAATTCAACTGTTCTAAGTCTCAAATATTTCTAAATTATTATGTGCCTTTAAATGGTGGAATTTCAGGACTGAAAAACAGGACGCTGCACCACAGGAAGCTGGGAAATGGAGTCCTGGAGCCTCAGAGAACAGAAGAAGTTTAGGAACTGAAAAGATCGAAACAAGCCCAGCACATGCTGGGAACTGTAGTTAGGGGCCTTGAAGTCCAGAACAGAATGTCAAGGGGAGAAAAGAAAGAAGCAGCCACACAGCATGCTGGGAAGTGCAGTTCTGGACCCCAAAGTTTTTAACCGGAAGTCCATTCATAGAAAAGCGGACACAAATCATGCTGGGAAATATAGTCCTTGGCTGCCAAAGATGAAAATAAGAAGTCCCTGGGCAGGGAAGCAGGAAGTGGCCACAGAGAATGCTGGGAAATGGAGTCCTGGGCCTCCAAAAACTACAAACTGGAAGTTTCATTGCTGAAAAACAGAAAGCCACCGCAGAGCATGTTGGGAACTACAGTCCCTGGCCGGTACAGATGAAAACCGGAAATCCCTGGGCATAAAGGCAGGAGTCGACCGCACAGGATGCTAGGAAATGCAGTCCTGGACATGAACATCCAAACCCAGAAGTCTCTGGGCAGCGAAGCAGTAAGCTGCCGCATAGGATGCTGGGAAATGCAGTCCCAGCCACAGCAGTTACAAAAGTTCCTGATGGCCTTGGCTCAAGTCAGCCTTGGCTGGGATCTTCGAGCAGAAGTCATGCCCCACCCTTGATGATTGAGATGAGTCTCTACTGCCAGGTTTCCCTTGCCAGGAAATCCAGCCCTCGGCTTGCAGCCTGCCCCTCTACCTTTATAAAGATAGCTGACATGTCCCTGCCCAGTAGATCACACCCTCAGCAGACCTCATGGCCCAGAGGCAGGAAGTGGGGTCTGTAGTGATTGACAGCTGGAGGGGCAGGGTATGCGGTGACTGACATTACAAGGGCCTGGAGGGGTGAGCTCTGTGATGTCACAGGAGCCACACTCATCATCCTCAGGGTTTTTACTCTCATAACCTGCTCACCATGGCCACCGCCCTCTGGGTCCTAGCATTGCTGCTTGGTAACCTAAGAGTTTGGTAGGAGACTCCTGCCATGCCCAGCTGGGGGTGGAGATGGTGAGGGTAGGGAAGGAGGGCAGTTCCTGCTCACAGTCACAATTTCCTGTGATGTCACTGCCAGGACCAAGTCCTTTCTGCACCACAGGTAATACCCAGACCCCGGCCCTGCCCTCGGGGACCCTAGGAGAGAAAGTGGGGCAGGGCCTGTTGTGGTTGAGAGTAGGGCCTGGAGAGGGTCACTGATTGTGACCTTGGACACTGTGACCTCGGGGTAGGGGACAGGTGAGCTAGGGTAGTGCTGAAGGGGTGGGGCCTGATGCTGAGCAGTAAAAACCTGCCACTCATTTAAATATGCAAATGAGGCTACTAAACTGTTATGTAAAGGATGCACTAGTAATTTTGATTATGCAAATAAGCACAGTGCCTGAAAATCAGGATGTCTGATTGGGGCTTCACATTTGAGTATGTAAATGAGCAAACCCCAGTTCGGAAATATACTTTAATATGCAAATTTGTGCTGCTTTGCATGCTTTTGCTATGTAAATGAATGCAAGTATTCCCATCTGTTTGGGACTTTGACCTGCAAATACATGCAGGTTAGGTCATTTGGAGGTGTGGCCATGCAAATTAACCCCAGCAGTTTCTGTACTTGATGTCTTCTGAGTCTCCAGGCAGCTCTTGAATATGCAAATCAGAGTGCAGGCAGGGGGTGGGGCCTCCTCTGACCCTGCTCCTGATGTCAAATGTCCATCACAGGCATCTGATGGTGAAGCTGCTCATGCAGGACCCAGTGAGGGCAAGGGCAGGGCCCATGGAGATGGTGAGGGCGGGACATCAGGAGGGGGCGGGGCCACAGGGGCGGGTTTAGGTGTACTCCCCTCGGTGGGCCTGTCCCCTAACCCTGCCTCCACACACCTCACCCCATGTCCTGTGTCCTAGCACTGGGAAGTGATGCACTTGAGGGAAGCTTGCTCTGTCTATCAAACACAATGCACCAAGGGCATCATGGGAAATGGGTCACTGCTTCACAAACTCACCAGAAGTCCCGCCCCTTCAGTAACTCTCTCACCAGAATACTCGCCCGGACAGTCACTCACATACTCATTCTCCATCTACAATCCTCATTATTGGGGTGTGGCCGGATGCTGGCTGACAGGGACGTGTGGTCCCACATCCGGGAAGATGGCAGCCAGCTCATGCATGCAGTGGTAGAGTGGAAACCCCACGGCATTGAAGAAATCCCCATCCACGCGCTCTGCTAGGGCACCGCCTCGCGCCTGAAGCCCGTAGGCGACAGCCTTGTCCCTGGGTGCAAGGCAGGGACGAGGTCACACCAGGTGCCATGCTCAGCCACACCCACGCCCGCCGGGGACAGCTCTTCCTTTTCGGGCTTCACTTCCAGGTTTCCTGGCCCCACCCACCCCACCCCGCACCCACTCACAGAGGCTCCCCGCTCTCCACGTATTCGCACAACAGTGGCTCCAATAGCCGCGAGAATGTCACACAGGTCTCTTTGTGGAACAGTAACAATTCCACTTCTGCTTCTGGGCCCCTTCCGCCTCTGGGGCCTCTGGGCATATGGAACTTGGCTCCTGAAGCTGCCTCCGCCACAGTGGCCTCAAGATGGCCACACCGGTGATGACACTGTGCTGCTGGCCACTCAGCCTGGGCGGGGCCAGGGCGTGGCTGGCAAGGGGCGGGGCTGGGGTGGGCAGAGGCTGGAGCTCCATGCAGAGGCCCCGCCCACTCTACCCTGGGTGGGTCTGCCCCGCCCCTTCAGGCCCCGCCCACCTGCACAGCATCCTGTAGGCATTATCCTTGTCCTTTGGCTTCTCCAGGATGAAGCCACCCACGGCCTGCAGTGGGCGGAGCCAGACGCCAAGGGGCCGGGTCAGTGAGGGGCAGGGTGGGCAGGGCCGGAAGGAGCGGGGCCTCACTCACCAGGATGGTGTCAGCTCCAATAATGATATCAGGCGGGTGCAGGTCCTGCAGAGCAGAGGGCGGGGCAGGCTTGTGGGCGGGGCCTCGACAGGAAGGGGTGTGGCCTACTACCTGACCAGGAGGGATGGGGTCGTCCTCACCCTGCGCAGCCGCGACGCCACCTCCAGAGCCTTCAGCTTTGCTGTCTCCCGGGCATATTCGGGCAGAGCCGGAAATCTCGCTTTCTCGAGGGACTCCTGGAAGTGGGAGGGTACGACCTCGAACTGCAGTCCCTGGGGGGGGCTGTGCTGTCAGAAACAGAAGGCCCCACCCCTGGAAGTCACAGCTGACAATCCCAGAGCAGGCCCTGCCCCTGGAAGTCACCATGGAGGACAGGATGTCCCGCCTCCTGGGGGAGCTGCTCACCAGCACCACCCTCTTCCCCTGCAGCAGCCTGTTGAGTGGAACCAGCTCCATGTTGAAAGGATCGCACATTTCCGGTCTGGGGGGTTCACTTCCGTTCTGGGAGGGACCAGAAATTGTCAACTTCCGGCTTGAGACAACCAATTCCGGTTCCTCTGAGATGATGGGACTTATTTCCTGCCCCTGGGTGCACAAAAAAGATGGCGGGGTTCAAGATGGCCATGGGCTACAGTGTAGGTAAAAGGAAACAGGAAATCCTGCCTATGCCTGTCTATGTCAGAGCCTTAGCCTCAGGGACCGCAAGTCCCGCCTCCAGCACACACAGGAAGTGATTGAATGAATGAATGATTGTACAATGAACTAATGACTGAAATGACTGAATTACTTCATGAATGACTGACCTTTGACTGAATGAGTGAATGAATGACTGAATGAACTAATTCATGACTGAATCAATGAATGAATGACTGCATGAATGAATGATTGAATGAATGACTGAATGAATGAGTGAATGACTGAGTGAATGAATTAATGACTGAATAAATGAATGAATGACTAAATGAATGAGTGATTGAATGAATGAGTGGCTGAGTGAATGACTGAATGAATGAGTGAATGAATGACTGAATGACAGGTGTTTGATTGACAGCTGTGTGCCCTACAGGCCACGCCTGTAACTCCTCTGACATCACGGCTCCCGTGACACCGCCCATCCCCTGGGAACCTCTCTAAGTCATTAATTCCTGATCAATGCTCCCACGCAGAAGTCCCGCCCCGATTTACCATGTTGCCAGAAGTCCCACCCCGGTTTCCCCGGCAACAGGAACCCTGCTGCCAACCGTGGCATAAACAGGAAATCAGCGAAAACCAGAGGGGTGCACGGACCTAGGGTTGCAATCTCTGTTTCTGCCCTGTTCGCCGCATCCGGAAATCCCACCTACCGCCTCGATGAGTGACAGGGAATATGCTCTGTGCTGCCTCTTTTGCGGTCGGAATCAGCCGTTTCTGACCTGTTCACTTGGACCTGTTAGTCCCGTCCCTTAAGGCGTTTCCTATCGGGCCCGCAATGTCCGATGCGATCAGTTCCCTTCCTGGGCCGAAAGCGCATCCGATTTAATAGCCGCCCGGTGGGCAGGGAATCACATGTTGCACCATCCGTAAGCGGAAGTAATGTACCAGAAGCGGAACTCAGGCTGCAGCGCACTCCGTCCTGTTTACTTCATGGGTGGAACTCAAGTTGTGCATCTCTTCGTTGCAACCTTTCCTGGGGACCATTTTGTGTGAAGCTCAAGTCAGTGACTGGAAGCCTGACGTCCTTGGTTCACAAGCGGAAATCGTGTGTCAGTTTGGCCGGGTGGAACTAGAAGCATGTTTTCCATGTGTGTCTTCCGGGGACACTGACAGCCACGAACCGGAAGCTTTAGTTCGTGACCGGAAGGCGGAAGTCCTGAGATCGCAGCCGCTTGTGAGCTGTGCAGGGGACAGTCCAGGAACTGTATGTTTGAGAAGGAGTTCCTGGGGACAGAGTTGTGAGAGGTGCTCAATGTCTGTAACTCTGTCTGTTCCAGTCACTCTAGGAGGTCTCTCCCCCGGCAGAGCCTCAGTAATGACGGATAAACATCAGGCAGGCGGGCACACTGGTTGCTCCAGCGGGATAGAGGTGTCCAGTATTTTCAAAGCAGGTCCAAGAAATTTTCCGGAGGTGGAGGTGTTTTGTTTTTTTGACCCGCTCTTGGTCCCAGTGCTCAACCAGACCAGTGGAGCAGTGGGCGCAGTAGGACACAGGGTGGGGAAAGTGCGGGTTCTGGGTGGGGTGCTTTGTAGATCAGAGTACTAGAACTTTACTCTCTAGAGATAAGATATAGGGCGTGAAAGACAAAAAAGTAAAGTTAGAGAAACGCCCCACTTTAAATGAAGGACAGACTAAACTGGAAAGTTAACCCCTAGCAATATCTGTTCCTTGGAATCTGCTAACTTCCCCTCACAAGGCCCTGAGAAAACAAGATTCCAAGAATTTACATTGCCCCTCATTTCTTGTGAGTCAGCAGGTGGTGAATGGGGTCTTTAAGAAACAAATAGATAACTGCACCTCCGGTTTGCCCAGACAAGATTAATTAGCACACCCTGAGGCCCTAAGGTCTGCTGACCCTAATAGGGAGACCAGCCTCAAAGGGTCATGTACTCAATGGACAGTTGAAAAAGCATACTTGTTGCCTGTTAATGTTTATGGACTTCTCTTCGTCTAGCAGTACCACTGCCCCAGTCCTTTCTTTACCTTTTATGGCAGTGAACTGGTCATCATCTCCCCAGCCAGCAGGATGTCATTAAGATCTTTGCAAACTCCAGTCTCTTTAACCAACAGTTGATGGCTGTCATGAATCCCCGGTTCACCAGTCTCCACAGACAGAAGAGTGGTGGGATGAGGCTAGCTGGTGGAGCGAAGACAATCCACTCAGTCTCTCAGTGAGAAGCAGGCTTTGGTGGTGGGTCACACGGGCATTAGTCATCATCAGTTGGCGGCTGCCAGACAATGCTCTCCAATGCATGGGGGCTATTAATGTTGCTTTATGCCCCAAAGTCAACTTGTCAGCAGTGATATCTTTTTGATAGACAGGCCCTCCCCTTGCTACAGGATCAAGCTTCTTTGACAGATAAGCAACTGGTCTGTTCCAAGGCCCTAGGGATTTGGTTAAAACTCCCCAGGAGACCCCCTTATGCTCATCCACATAAAGGGTAAAAGGTTAGTTACATCAAAAGGCTTAGAGCCGATGCTTTCAGCTGGGCCTTTTTAATGGCATCAAATGCCTCCTGGTGCTCTGGGGTCCAGGAGAATTTTTTCCTTAGTCAGCCTGATGTGGGTTCTCTCTTCCAAGATTGCTTCCCTATTACCTGATATCAAGATGATAAAAAAAAGGATTTAAAATATGTACCAGGTAAGAAATACAGATGAACAAAATTATGAAAAGTTCATTGCTATGACCTATATCCATTTTCTGAGAACATACTGTAGTTCCTCCTACAGGAATACTCAAGGGTGTAACCGCTTTTAAAAAACCATAATCAGTCAGAAACTCACACACTGACATCACATAATTAAAATTAAATGGAATCTCTGAATAGATTTCAAAGTGCGAATATTTTCTCTTAAGAGGACTCATTTGTGTAACCCACATGTTGATGGTCTTAAAGTCTTCAAAGGTTTCCTACAACATGATTTGCTTCATGTAAAAGAAAGCAAGCATGAAGGATTGGGCTTATGGAAGTCAATCAATCTGAATGAGTTTTTTGTTTAAATAAAGACAAGTATTACAATGAAACAGGGTTCCCTTATCAGTGAATTCCTAGGGCTTTTGTCCACGTGACTTTGCTTTTAAGAGCAAAACAGAGATATTGCAATGCTTGAACTGACTGTTCAAACTTTTCCGATATTCTTCTTTCCAGAATCCTATGTAACACAATGTTTGTTGGCTGACGATCATACCACATCCTTTCTAGTAAGATTCCTTTCTATAAGAGTTTTCTTTGGACCACAAACATTATTGCGATAAGTAAAGTGCACAACTTTACCACAATGCTTACATGTACAGGGTTTCCATACACTATGATTTTTTTGTGTGTGATTATAAAGACTAATGATACATAGAAAGGATTCACCACATGGGATACATTCAGTGTCTTTCAAGTATGCATTTCTTATGACTTAAGAGATGGCTGGGATGTGCAAATGCTTTACCATACTGATGGCATTCATAAGGCTTCTCTCCAGTATGTGTTCTTGTATGACTTTTAAGCACATGTGTTGGAAAAATTTTATGACTTTGATTATAATCATAGGGTCTCTCTACAGTATGTGTTCTTTTATGATGTATCAGATGGCTGTGTCATGTAAAAGATTTACCACATTGCTTACATCCATAGGGTTTCTGCCCACGAGGTGTTCTATGATGAGACTAGAGAGTACTGACACGGGAATATGCTCTACCACATTGATTACATAATAGGGTTTCTCTCCAGTATGTGTTCTTATATGTATTTTAAGCTGACCATTACTTGCAAATGCCTTACCACATTGATTACACTCATAGGGTTTCTCTCCAGTATGTGTTAATATATGACTTTTAAGCCACCCATGTGTTGTGAAAGCTTTACTACATTGATTACATTCATAGGATTTCTCTCCAGTATGGGTTCTTTTATGACACACCAGATTGCTGTTTTGTGAAAAAGCTTGACCACATTGATTACATGCATAGGGTTTCTCTCCAGTATGTGTTCTTATATGTATTTTAAGCTGACCATTACTCGCAAATGCTTTACCACATTGATTACACTCATAGGGTTTCTCTCCAGTATGTGTTAATATATGACTTTTAAGCCACCCATGTGTTGTGAAAGCTTTACTACATTGATTACATTCATAGGGTTTCTCTCCAGTATGGGTTCTTTTATGACACACCAGAGTGCTGTTTTGTGAAAACGCTTTACCACATTGATTACATGCATAGGGTTTCTCTCCAGTATGTGTTCTTATATGTCTTTTAAGGTGACCATTACTTGCAAATCCTTTACCACATTGTTTACATTCATACAGCTTCTCTCCAGTATGTGTTCTTTTATGTTTTTTGAGATTACTGCATAGGGAAAAGACTTTACCACATTTTTTACAGTCTTGTGTTTTCTGTCCCGTATGCGTCCTAATATGTCTTTTAAGCATAGTATGTCTTGCAAATAATTTACCACATTGACTACATTCATAGGTTTTCTCTACCATTTGAGTTCTTTCACAGAGTTGGAAGAAACTGTGACATTCAGAGACTTCACCATACTGAAGACATCTATATGGTATCTCTCCAGTATGAAATATTTCCAGCCTTTGAAGATGCCTGTAACATAAAAAGTTTTTCACACATTCATTGCGTATATTCACAGGATTAACAACCTTATGGCTTCTTTCATTCCAGCAA